AAAATGTGCACTGGTGGAGGGATGAATATTCAATCATTGTATGACTGAAACTCAAGCATGAAAGTGTTGTAACTGATCTCACAGTGATAAAAGGTAAAAGGTAAAGGCCCTCCCGTTGATCGTCGATTTGCTCGAGCGGGCCCAGTAACGTCTCCATTGGAGACTTTGTTGTTACTGTGTCTGGCATATCGAATACTCTCGGTAGCTTGCCGGGCTCTCCGAGAGGGGCAGAGGAATCGAACTCGGGTTGGCCATGTTGGCTGCGTGCAAGGCAAACGCCCTACCCGCTGTGCTATCGCTCCAGCCCCCATCTCACAGTGATTCAATTAAAAAAAAAAAAGAGCTTGTTCTTGCTTCAAACTGGGACAAAAACTCACTTCTGCTGTAAGCTGTTGCAGAACATCTTATACTCAGTCCTGCCTGCATGTGTGTTTGTGTGTGTCTGTGTGCCTGTGTGCATTATGTACTTATTTGACTATGAATGGAACCTATGGCCTCTCACATATGAGGCATGCTATGGCTGAGCCAAAAGTATGGCAATCATGTTTCTTGCACCTCTCTAAGGGGTTTTCCCTTAAAATCTTTCCAGTGAAAGTCTTGTATTCAAGCATCAGAATCTGAGTATATTTAGAGAGAACCAGAATAATAACTCTGTTTTCTGCATTGAAATTCTGAAGCTTGAGGAAACATATTTAACTTATTTGACAACACAATTGTTTCTAGATTATGGCATCTATATTTTGAAGTAAAATAATATTTTGTTTTCATTTTTAAAATTTATGTTAGCCATATGATACTTTAATAATGTTCTGAAAGGAACATTAGTCTATAAAACCTAGCACTTGCTTGATCATCATATTCTTTACTCACTCTTGAAAGTTTATTCTGTATGATTGTTTTTATTTGTACTGTATTTGTAGTTATTTTTATTATTAATAATGCTCGACCATGCTACCAGATGACGTATTCAATATGCCAAACACAGTTAACAACACGTCTCACAATGGAGATGTCACTGGGCCCCCACTCGAGCAAATTGATGAACAACGGGAGCACAGTGCTACAGTGCTATTAATAACGCGATGCATTTTATATGTATTAATTATGGTTTGATGTTAGTTGTCAATATAATTACATTGCCTTTTTAGACAATCTTTCTATTCATTTTCTCTCTTTTAAGTCCAGACAGAGTTCACTTTTTATATATTTCCAAAGTCCATAAATTATAAGATAATTTAAATATACATCTGTCTCTAATTAAAATGTATTCACTGTTGATTCACAATTGTCTATCATTTTATTGAGTGTTATTCTTAGGCCTCTGTGGATCTTAAAGACGTAAGAGATATAATACCCACCTTCCACTCCCTCATTTCCCTCTTAGTTACTATTTGTTTATAGTTGGGAAATCATCTGCCTTCTGTTTTCTAACACATTTTTCAACATTACAAGATTTTTACTCTGGGTATTCAGTGAACATATTATCATTTTGATCAATGCCCTTGACCTCTTGTTCTGTCTTCTCTCATGAGAACAGACACAAAATCAAATAAAAAATGGAGCGATAGCACAGCGGTAGGACGTTTGCCTTGTGTGCAGCGGGCGCCAGCCTAGCCAGGTGCGATTCCTCTGCCCCTCTCAGAGAGCCCGGCAAGCTACTGAGAGTATCTTGCCCGCATGGCAAAGCCTGGCAAGCTACCCATGACGTATTCAATATGCCAAACACAGTAAGAAGAAGTCTCAAAATGGAGATGTTACTTGGCCTGCTCCAACAAATTGATGAACAACAGGAGGACAGAAGATCTCAGTAGATTTCTCATTCTATTACCCTTTATCTTATTTTGTATTGTTACACCTCTTCATTATGAAAAGGAAGACATTTGTCACTGTTAGATATTTGTCATATATTTATTAGTAGTACAATATAGACATAGGAAATGTAGGTTAATGATAGATCATTGATCTTATAGAAAACTTGGTTTGTTATTGCCTAAATCACTCATCTTTTACTTTTTGGATGACTGATTCTTATTTTTACAGCAATTCATTCTTGAAAATTAAATTAATAAAATCCCGAGACTGGGTTATCAAATAAAAATGTACATCCTATAACAAAAGAGTGAGAAAATCAACATCACTTTAGATCCCAAAATAATATTAATGAAATCTTAAATGCAATTTCATAACATGTAAAATAAATGTGCAGTCTTAAATTACGAAGAAATTATAAAAATTTTTTTCTATTAGCAGTCACCAATGAAAAACAGGTCATATGTAACCATATAGTCTTCTTTTTACTCCGAGGAACAAGAGAACAAGCTATCCAGAATATAATACATAAAATATCTGGGATGCAATACAAAATTATTTGACAAAAAATTAAGATAACATAACCTTTTCTCAAATGATGAGAAAAACAATATAGATTAATTGTGATTGAAGTCAAAATTTAATATCTGTTATGAATATATTCAAGGAAGAAATGGAAATATAATAGCATGTGAATATATGAAATATAAAAATATATAAACGTGTTCAGTGATAACCAAATACAAATTTTAGAAATGAAAAATATAATACCTTAGTTAAAAATTCTCAAATTGAAAAAATTGATTCCGTTCTTCAAATTCTTTAAATAAGAATTCTGGCCTCTTCTCTCTGTCTTTCCCCATTATGGAACTACCAACGGTGTGAAAATTGTTGCTTTCTACGCTGTCCTATATAATTCTTACATTACCTTCATTGTTCTTGATTATTTTTTCTGGTATTTTTCTGTTTTCTAATTTACTTTGAACTCACTGATTCAGTTTTTATTTTCTGTCATTCTGTTATTGAGGCCCATCTACCACGATTACTATAGTCAGCTACTGTATTTTTGTTTGCCTCTATGATTTTTGTTTAAATGTTTTCATACTTTGTTGAAACTATTCTCTCAATATACATCATTAACATGAGTGTTTTCAAGTGTTCTCCAAATGTATTACATTTCTTTGACATAGTAAGAGTTCCTTATAGTCTGTTGTCTTGCTCTATCTGTGTTCATGAGACTGATAAAATGTGTATCTTTCAAATATATGTAGTTCCCTGTGGATCCGGATTGTTTTAGGGGTCTAAGTTAAAGTGATCTGTGTGGTAACCAGGTCTTTCAGATAGGACTGTGAGGCATCTGTATATCAAGTTCTAAAGGGCCTGGGAAGCAACCAGGTGTGGTACACTATAGATCCCAAAATAATACTAATGAAATCTTAAGTGCAATTTTATAACATATAAAATAAATGTCAGAAGGGCCCAGCGGCAGCCATATCCTATGATTAAGAGAACCTAGGTCACAAAGGTACCAGTTTCTAGCAATGACAAGGGTGTCCAGCTTCCTACTAAGCTCCCACTGAAATGGATAGTAGGTGAGGAAACTCATGTAGTTTAAAACTGAATTAGTTCTCTAGATCCAGTTGTAAAAAGCTTGCCCTCTGAGACTGATAGGGATCACAGTAGAAAGTTTGACATTCTAGCTAACTGGCTCTGTTTCTGGTGGCCCACATGGTGCTTTCTTTTCTAGAGACACAACATTCTTGAAAACACTAAGATACGAACAGTCAGGGAAAACAGGGAGATCCTTTTAGGGACTCACACTCAGGGCCTGCCACTATGGAGAGTGAGATCAGATAAAGCAACTGAAAGCAACTTTATCAGCAAATTGGGTAGAGGTTGTCAAAATGGTGCCTGCAAGTTTCTCCAACTTCTGCTTATATATTATAGTTTCTTGACTTCTATTCCAGTGTTTTACTATTGCATGGTTGGGGTGCAGAGTGTTTGGCACCATCCATAAGTATTCCCCTAGATGTCAAAGATAATGGTTTACTCCTTAAAATACATTCTTCATTGCTTCCTTTCTTGACGAGAACATCTCTGTCTCCAATATGCCTTGATGCATTACACCAACTGCATGCTGAAGACTTTTTAGTTGTGTTTCAGTTTCCCTATAGCTTAAACCAGGTCTTGTTTAGATTTGTTGTGATCATGGTAGGAGATAAATATAAATTCTCTCTTTTATTGTTCTGCTCATTCACTTTTAGAGGTACTGCAGTTATAGGTAATAATACTTCCCCTCCCTCCCTTCCTCCCTCCCTCCCTCCCTCCCTCCCTTCCTACCTTCCTCTTTTTTTCCTTTTTTTTCTTCCTTCCTTTTTTGTATTTGATTTAGGGGCCACATCCAGTGGTTATCAAGGCTTACTTCTAGCTCTGCACTCAGGGATCACCCCTGGTGGGTTCAAGGGACCATAAGTGGTACCTAGGATCTAGCTCCAACAACGATGTATAAGGCAAGTGCTTTATACATTCTCTGACCCAAATGTAACTTTATCTTTGGTAACCATGACAGTTCTACTTCATCTCCATTCTTGATCCAGGTGCCCAATATAATAAATTTTAACAAAGCACATCCAGATAATGTCTAATGTCTGAAATCTAGTTAGCATATTCCAATCGTGGATTTCCTTAAAAGTGTAAAAATTTACCCTCTGTTACAGGGAGTGACTGAGATCAAAATAACTTCCTGATTCTTATGAGTGTTTTTTGAGTTGTGATAATAATTTGATAATTAAAGTATTCTTATGTGCTTTTGGTGGGTTGGAGGACACACCTTCAGTGCTCAGGCTTACTACTGGTTCTGTGCTCAGGGGTTATTCCTGCTGGCGTTCTGGGGAAACACATATGGCCACATGTAAGGCAAGTGTTCTACACTCACTACTATAACTCCAGCCCATACTAACTCTTCTACTCTTTTAAAATATTTGAGAAAATAATCTTATCATGCAATTTTATGTCCAAGTAAAATCTAATTTAAAATACATATTCTAAATTAATATAATTGTATAAGTAAACATTATAACATGTAGTTTTTTACATAACCAGAATATAGTTTTAAAAATTTATAGTAACTATAGATGCATATTTATAGTTATTGTGTATATTTTTCTATAACTTTAAATATAATCTCTCACCACAAGCTGCACTCTTCCACCATTGCGTATATCTGGATCTAACTCAGGCAAGAAGTGTTCTCTGCAGAGGGATGAAAGCAGAAAACATGCTACAATAAAAATGTTGATGGTTAATATTAAAGAAGTACCCAATGAAAGGTTTAGTAGAAAACAGTAAATTACAAAATGAAAATATCTTCTTGCTTTTATAATTTGTAATTTTATCAAAATTTAGGTAACACAGTTACAATAGTGCTCACATCAATAGTACTACTGTAAAGTTATTACACCATAATATTTTTCTTAAATATGTTACATGAAAATTACACACAAATTCACATCTTTTTATACAATTTTAAAATTTAAATGTACATAAAATTTGAACCTTTCATACAGTACTAATACTATCCTTCTGTGATAGATATTACCATATACAACAAAGAACAAAATCTGAAACAAGTAATAATATGATAAACAAACTATTAAAAATATATTTACATATTCTTATATCTGTTACTTGCTTTCTGTGGAAGATAAGGTTTTGTTTTTAAAAAAGTTCTATTGAGATAACATGGGCTTACAATACTGTATATATGTTAGAGACACAATATCGTACCTCTTGATGGAATTACTTCATACTCACTACTGGAGTAATAATACATCTTCCATCGCAGTTCTCTGGATCCCCTTCTTGCATTAATACCCTGTCTTTTCTCCCACACTGCTAACCCAAGTTGTGTGCTCAGAGTTCAAGGGTTTGTTTTCCTTTGCTTTTGTTCCTTAGCTTTGCTTCTCTATATTCTAAATATGAGTGAGGTCATGAGTATTTGTTATCACTCCTCTGGTTTATTTTGCTTAGCATGACCCCCTCCCTGTTCTATCCATGTTGTTTCAATTGTACAACAATATGGAGAATTCAAAATATTTTACAAATTGCTAATTTTAAAAACAGTTCTAGAGGGTTTAATGCCTAGCATTAATATGCACAATTAACTATTGCCTAACGTTAGAAAACTGAAATTTGGCTTTTTCAAAAATTCTGTCACTGAAAAAAGTTTATCCTTAAATTCTGGACTTACCAACTGTGGGGACAGAAGGGAAAGGACTACAGGACAATGATAAAGGGATGTGAATACTCTGGCTGAGATATTACAAGGTTCAATGTATAAAAACCTATGAAAGTATTATAAATCATCGCTCTTCAAATTATAATAAATAACAAAATGGATGGAATTGATAAGATATGCAAAGTTTAACTCATATATTTTAAGAGAGGTTTCCATTTCATATACCATAATTTGCTGTTAAATTAAATTTTGAAACTGCAGGATTTTGTAATTCATTTAATGAGTTGCTAATCCACATTACTGGAAATATTTTCAAAACTGATCTCTAGAGTCAGAGATATATACTTGAAAATACTTATAACAGCACATTTAATATTTTTGGATATGTGTAATTAAAGTTCTCAAAGTGTATGTAAATATTATCTTTAGACTTTCATTTTATTATTTTCATAAACACTTTTGATTACATTGTTAGGGCTGAATTTTGTTTTGTCAGACTTCTTATGTTAGAGTTCTAATCCCCAATATTTCAGAATGTGACTGGAAATGGTAACTAAAGAGACTGAAAAGTGGTAATCAATGTCAAATGACATGCAGATGTTCCTTTATCGAAGCTGACTAATATCTTCATTTAAAAAAAGGTTAGGACACATTACACAGATGGAGATATGAACATGTGTGGACACAGTGAGAAAATAGCTATCTATGAGCCAAGGACAATGTGGCCTGGCCTTTCTATTTGCCGAGGAGCAAGCTCTCTAAAGAAACTGAACCTTGTCATTTGATCTTGAACTTGATCTAGTATCCAGAATAGTGAAAAAACAAAACTATATGTTTAAATAAGCTAACTCTATGCCAGGAAGAGCAAACCAACACAATAAATTAACAACAAAAGATAACTGGTTAACAATTAGATTCAAATAATCTTGTTTGTTGTTGGGGTATAAAATTTTGCTATTCTTACCCTTGTGTGCTCACCTCTGTCTTGTAAGGTAGATAAGTTACTATCATCTCTCTATAAAGGAGTAGAAACTAAAGCATTGAGACATCATGAAAAATTATGGAAATCACCATTTACCTGACTGATAAAATAATATCATCTGGCCTGAACAATATTTTAAATTTTCAAACACAAACATTAATACAATGAACACAAAATGCAAGACAAACCATTACTATTGCAATCCATGTATTGCTTTAAAATATTACAGTAATGATTTTCAAATATTTTAGAATGGACATAAAACAAGTTATTAAATCTATTTTATAGAAATTATTTTTTAAAAATCCTGGCAACATGCTATATTGTCCTTTGGCTATAAAGTCATGTTTGTTTTAGCACAATTAACCTAGGCTTCACTTGGCAAGATACGTTTATATTACAAAAATCTAATTTAAGGAAAATGACCTCACCCTTTCATATTTCTGGAACTAGTTTCATGAACCTTGACCTGTGTGTGAAGCCATTGATATGTATATTCCTTACTCCTTTCTACTTTTTCATGTCCAGTGGTATCCTTGTAGATAAATTCTTTGCCTGAGGAAGAAATACAGAACTTTTATTTGTTATTTAACAGATCAACCTTTTCATAAATAGTTAATTTTGGTATAAACTTTTCATCACAATTAATACAAACTAAGTTTATTATAGCTAAATCATTTATTATGTTTTTATTTCCTTTGATATTGTTACTACTAGTCAAGCAATTCTAGTTTTCAGTTCAAAGAAATATTAGAACCAATTTTCAGGGAAGCTTAAATTATGTTTTATTTCTTTATATTCTTTCTATTCTGCTAAATTATAAAATTAAATGCTCCTAACATGACAACAATTAATTTATCCTGCGTTTAAGCCAATCTCTGCACAGTAGTTAGAGAACTTTATATTATTTTATATGTGAAGACTAACCACTGAAATAATGAACCAATACCTTTTTCATAACTGGATTTATGGGTAAAGATAAGTTAACAAAAAGACTCAAAGGGAAGATTTAGAATTGCTGCATCAAGTTACTGTATATTAGTCTCTTCATTAGATTCCCAGAAGTTTATATACTTTTCTTGGGTGATGAAATTCAATGCTGGATCGATGAATATGGTGAAGGAGAATAGTGAGGACTCAATGAACTTGGGCTGGAGCGATAGCACAGTGGTAGAGCGTTTGCCCTGCATGCAGCCAACACGGTCGACCCGAGTTCGATTCCTCTGCCCCTCTCGGAGAGTCCGGCAAGCTACCGAGAGTATCTCGCCCGCATGGCAGAGCCTGGCAAGCGACTCGTGATGTATTCGATATGCCAAACACAGCAACAACAAAGTCTCCAATGGAGATGTTACTGGGCCTGCTCGAGCAAATCGATGAACAACGGGGTGGCAGTGGCAGTGGCAATGAACTTACTACGCTAATACCTTATATAATTTTGATATGTAAAGATTCCTTTAAAACAATTGAATTTTGAAATCAAACAAACGAACAAAAACAAAGAAAATAGCATGTGCAAACATGGGAACACATACACCCACCCACACCCACACACACACACACACACACACACACATCTTCTACATCTTTCTGTTTCCAAAACAATAAAACAATCTCCTTGACTTGTGTAAAACGCTCCATTCAAAAAGTTTTCCTCAACACCAGAGTTAACACTGAAACCCTAAGAGGTTTTAAATCTGAAAACAGCTAAGCTTCTAAACAATTCCTCAGTAAAGATGAAAGATTTCACTGCAAGGGTCTCAGTCATATTAACCAGTTTAACCCTAAGGCACATTGGTAGATTGGCATGAGCTCAGCATAAGAAACAGAACAGTTGCATTGGTGAGTTGGATGGAATATACTTAAAGATATTGCAATTAAAATTCTGTAGGAAGTAATCTTGTTTGTGCTAACTGATTTTAGGATTACTCTTGTCACTGAGGAAAAAGTAAGATTTATTCTTTGAAGTTTGCAGAAGGTCTGCATTTAGCATCTTATGTAGGATCAATAACGGTGACCTGGACTATTTAACTGATACTTATCAGTTTCAAGTCATGCTGCCTAATAAATCCTTTTAGTTTTACAAGAAACATCATTCTGCCTGCAGATTGAAGTGAAATCATTTGCCTATTTACACTATTTTTCTACTTTACTGGTCTTGCTTCATTAATTTCTAGTACCATAAATCCTAGAAAAAAGATCTCTGATTCTTGGTATCCTCTATTTACTCTTGTCTACACAGAAATCTTATTTTCAGGTTTTTGAGCCACACTGTACAGTTTTCAGGGCTATACTCCAAGCTCTGTGTGCAGAGATAATCCCTGGTAATACTCAGGGAACCATAGTGCAGTTATCAAACCAGTGTCAGCTGTGTGCAAGGCAAACCCCTTACGTTACCCATGTGTTACCTCTCTGGTACACCACAATATATATAAATTTATTTAATCAATCATAGTACTATTAAAATACTCTTATTTTAGTAATTTAGTAAATATAGAAATATATTCCACAAAATATCATTATTCAAAGACAATGGTTGGACAAAATTTTCAGACATTTTTGAAGTTCTATATATATGTATTTAATGTAACATCATTGGAAATTATAGATATATGGTTCTTGCTTTTATACAACTGTATGTATCCCATATGTTCCATGTTCTTTTGTTTCTTTATTGAGGTAGTGATTTTTCAATACTGTTAGCGATACCTTTGTGCATATATCTCAGTCACACACATATATCAAGTGCCTACTTCAAATCCTTTTCAAACAGGAATAACTATCTTGGTTGTATATTCTACTTTTTACTAGAACAAATTTACACAGTGCAATGGAAATACCATCCTAAATAATTTTATTGTTTATATACTTGTAAATATTAACACCATCTTTTTAATTGAATCACTGTGAGATACACAGTTACAAAGCTGTTCATGACCAGGTTTCAGTAACACAATGTTCCAGAACTATCCCTCTACCAATGTACATTTCCCCAGTAATCCTCCTGCCTCTCAACATGATACTATTCATGCCCATTCATTTATAAGAAAATTTCATGACTCCATCTTTCCTAACAGCTGCATAGTATTCCATTGTGTAGATGTACCATAGTTTCTTTAACCACCCGTCTATTCTCGGACATTCGGGTTGTTTCCAGATTATGGTTCTTGCAAATAGTGCTGCAATGTACGTAGAAGAATAAGTAGTATTTCTGCTGTGTGTTTTTGCACTCACAGGGTATATTTCCAGGTGGTCTTGATGGGTCAAATGGGGGGTTGAATTTCTAGGGGTTTTTTTCTTTTTTTTTAGGAATGACCATATTTTTTCCCCAAAAGTCTGCACCGGTTGGCATTCCCACCAACAATGAAGGAGTGAGGAGAGTCCCTTTTTCCCCACATCCAAACCAGCACTGGTTATTCTTGTTCTTTTGAACATGTGCCAGTCTCTGTGGTGTGAGATGATCACATTGTTGTTTTGATTTGTATCTCCCTGATGATTAATTATGTTGAGCATTTTTTTTCCCGTGTGTTTTTGCCATTTGCATTTCTTCTCTGAGAAAGTTTCTGTTATTTCTTCTCCCCACTTTTTGATTGGGTTGGATGTTTTTTTTCTTGTAAAGTTTCATCAGTGCCTCTTCTATCTTGGATATTGACCCCTCATCTGATGGGTATTTGGTAAATAATATTTCCCATTCTATGGCTATCTCTTTATCTTGGTCACAATTACTTTTGGGTTGCAGACACTTCCTAAATACTTAATGATACCATTTAATTAACCTAATTTCTTTCAAGTAGGATTAAAATTACATATCTCAAACTACAAATATCTCTGAGAAATCAATATAATCCTTATCAGGTAATTTTGAAAGCTTTCCCAATTTACAATATGCTATATGAGGTTACCCATTATACTGAATTTTAGGTTCATTCTGGGATACTATATATCTTAAAATTGTCATAAATTTGACAAAATCTGATTTGTGTCTCTACAGTAGTAAGATCGAGCATGATTATTAAATATGGGAAAATTACTATATATTTCTGTTATCCCCAATTATTTGCTGAAGCCAAGTATTTACCTTTTTATTTTCAAGTAACCATTCATGATCCTTCATCCATTTTAACTAGTGTAATATTTTCTACTTCCTTCTTCTACTAGATTTTTAGTTTGCACCCTAATCACAAAGGACTGTGTTTGCTTTTCCCCTATGCAATGCATTTATTTAACATCTTCTAAATTAGACAATTTCCCATCAAAATGTATAGGCTCATTTCCCAATTCAATAAGCTCATAAGAAGTAAAATAATGGGCTGGCGAGAGTACAGCGGGTACAGTGCTTGCCTTGAATATAGCTGACCCTGGTTTGAATCTGTCACCACATATGGATCTATGAGCCCTTTCAGGTGTGATCAACGGAGTATTGCCAGGTATGGCCTCCCAATAAAACAAAACAGATTATTTCCTCATACATAATTGTTTTAATACACTTACATCTCTATTTCTTCACTTTTTAGCCACTCGTTCACTTATAACAATCTGACAATCAAGTCTTTCTCCGTCTCTCCCCTCCTCTAAACCTCTGTCCTTCCCCCCACCCCCCAACTTCATGTTCAGAATCAAACCCAGGGTTCTATACAAGCAAAACATGAAGTTGATTGCCCTGCTGTGCCTTATCTCCTGCTCAGATTTGGCTGAATTAAATTGTCCTTTGTAAAAAGGTTTAAACATTTCCTATTTGTTAAACACATTTATCTTTATTTTTCTGCTAAATTCAAATGTACAGACTAGTTCCTTTTTCTTAAAATGAACTTCCCATCCCCAAGAACTTTGGACTAACAAATTTCATGTGTTCTTTAAGAATTACTTAGAGAATCCTTTAGGTATTGGCAGTTGTCATTCTACAATAGTCTAGGACATCCTGTCCTTGCCATCAAGCCACTCATTCAACCCCCATACCTGAATTTTGCAGATTTGTGATGAAAGTCAGTTTGTGGTCATCAATTATTATCTCATGGGACATGCAGCAAAGAAAATCAACAATTACCTTACTTCTGTTCACGTATCCAGTTAAGCTTCAAAATCACAGCTATTTTCCCCCCTTAATCATCCTACTCAAGTCTGTTTTGTCTACTGAATTCCCGATTCATATAGCAGGACATGTTCTGAAGTCAACCTTCTCTCCTCATTCTTTAAATACCACCAGGTAATCAGAAACTAGGTTTAGTCTACTGGCTGATTATTTCACTATTAAGTAATTCTTCCTTTCCCACTCTACTGTCACCATTCCACTGTGGGCTCCATTTTGATGAAGAGTTAACAGGTATGGTATTTACATGTTAACATGGTGACATATTTTCCAAGTCATGTTTCACCAATCATAATAAAAAAAAAGTACCCCTCCGTATAAGCCCAATGACCTCAATTATATTAAGATTCCAACACTTTGTTTTGGACTCTCTGGCCATTAGTATTTTCCTCTCCTGTATTTTAATGACTCATAAAAATAGTGTTCTACATTCCCCTCTAGCTAAGCTATTCTAAGTTTTGTCTTTTTTTTT